AAAAAAAAAAAAAAAAGAATGAGTGCTTTAACAGTGTATATCTGCTTTTAGATAAGAGTGGCGCATTTGTCTGACTTTGACAAAGTAGGTGAATTATTTGACCCTTTACCATTGAAGTGCACATCTAGTGATGGACTGTCCATCTGCTTAGCAAAACTGACACAATTATTCCTTCCTCCTCATTTTTTACAGATGCCAGAAACAGCTATGGATGTGCAAAAGTTAGGAGCACATCTATTTCACAAAGAAATCTTAATTCTGCCCTGTAGGGTTTTTTCCACAACCATTTCCTGTGATCTTTCAAATAGGTTCATTAAGATCTGGGTGTTCTGAAGTAATTCTTTGATGTGGTTGGTATCATTTGTGGTCAGTCTTATTTGTGGTTTGCATTTGGCCAGAGAATTCACAACCTCAAAAGCCTTTTTCAGATCTTGTCTATGTAGGATTTGGTGGCGTTTGTGTACTCTGAATAAAATATTGCTGCTCTGATACCACATCCCAAGAAAATTGCAAATTATTCCTTAACTAACTAAAAGAACTGTTTCTCACCATATTCTTCCCACTCTTCCTCCAAGTTTCAGACTGTTGGTAATATGTTGACCTCACTTTTGTTTAGAGGCTTTGGAGTTTCTTCTTGTTGTCTTTTTTGTTTTGTTTTGCCATTCTGGTTTGAAGTGCAGATGGATTATTTCTCTAGCTTTTTACTTTTACTTTTTTATTCATAGGAGAAATGTATTTGTGCAAAAGCTAACCATACATATACGTTTTAGTTTCACTGAAGCATTTGCTCAAAGGCAAAAGACAGATTACTGTTGCAGGTTGCAAGTTGTTTAGCAGGGTAGCTGGCTAAGTCCTAACTTCCCCTGCTTGGTGACTCTCTGGATGTTATTATCTCCATATTACAAGTTGTTCAAGCAAAGAAAGCATTTCTTCCATACTGTCTTTATTCTGTCTCAGTTTATATTTTCTTGGCTTCTATATTCATATTTTATGGTACTGACTTTCAAGAATAAAGACATGACTGAGAGGCATGCTTAAATTGATGGTATGTTGTTAGTTGATAGTTTGATTGATTCACACTGTAAGATTATTGGGCTTGATCCTGACCTAACACACTGGCTCACCTCAGTGGAATATTTTACAAGGACAGTGGCAGGTGCAGGGAATTGCCCACTTCAGCAGAGCTCTGACATACTTGATCTGTTTCTTCTTCCCTCAGGAAAAGCTTTGCCAGCAGAAGTATAATGTCTCCTGCATAATGATCATGCCCCAGCACCAAAGGCAAGGATTTGGACGGTTTCTCATTGATTTCAGTAAGTGAAGTGCTTTATTTACTTTCACGATCCAGGGAGCTGATGGCCGTTACGGGAAACAGTAACACATAAAACTTTATTTAACCTACTTTGTTGTTTTTATCAATAGATAATGGGTTTTCTATTTATATTTACATAGGTTAGAAAATCTTCCTCAAGTGACAAATTTACTGCTGCTCAGTTATTGTACTCTGGGAAATTGAGACTAGGCCTCTCTGCAGTGTCACTAGCTCACAGAGCCATTACACTGAATGAACCGGCGGAATTACATTCCATTCGGTGGTGGTCATGCTCATTAGCACCAAAAGAGGCAATTATTTGTAATTAAAGCTAAAGGAAGTGTTATGTAAAAGAATTCTCAGCTTTCTAAAATTGTGCCTGTGTTCTTGTACTGTATAGAGCAGAAAGAAATATTTCCATTTAGAAAACAATTCTTTGGGTAGCCTGTCCTTTGAGCTGCTCTAGTAGAAATAACTCTGTCTTGTTTTGTTAGTTTTCCTTTTGTGTTATGGAAACCATTACAGTGTTTGTATCTAGAGATTTCCCAAGAAGCATTTGTTTTATATATACTTGTATCTTCTGAGCTGCCTCAATTAAAATCAGAATAAAATACAAAAATATGCATAGAATAATGTAAAAGAAAATATTGGTATGGTTTTTCCCTCCTTGTTTATTTTATACTGGATATGTAAAATGCAATGTGCATTTTGAGAATTGATTCAAAATAACATGAAGGCCACCATGTCCCATGATAATAATGGTCATTTTCAGCCATAAAAAAATCAGTCACTAGGAACCATGTTCTAATTGATTATCAGATTACAGTTTGTCTGATTTTGAACTGAAAAAAGAAAATTGCATTAATCTTTATAAAGTCCATAAATTGGAAAATCACAATGTAAATGTGCTCAAGAAAAACTATGAAGAAATATGTTGACTCTAAATGTCTTTTATTAGACATTGAAATGTGAAAGTCTGGGTATGAAATAATTATGTAGCAATTTTAGATTGATTTGTATAGTTCACTCACATTGAAGGATATTATATATTATTTTGTATTGAGTATTTTATGTTCTTAGGTCATGTTTTCAGTTATTAATTCATTACCTTAGTATTATCTATCCTTTCATAGCTCAGTTATCCAGGAAACTAGTCATTCCTGAAGAGCCATCTCACCAGGAGGTCACCATTTTTATTACAGAGTCCTATCTGAGATAGGGAGTTCTGGTAACATAGTGCCTAAGGCACTTGACTGCCAACCGGAAGGCTGGTGGTTCAAACCCACCAGCCACTCCTCAGAAGGAAGATGGGGCCAACTACTTCCTTAGTGATAGTGCCTCAGAAACCCAAGCGGGAGGGGTCACTATGAGTCGGGTCTGACTAGAAGGTACATAACAACAACAAGAAAAATCTGAGATTACTTCTAAGGACAAAACCATCTGTCTTTGTTCTGAAAATTTCTTGGCCACCCTTCATAAGTTGTTCATAAATACTATAACTTTCTAGTATGCACAGCAGCAATTCAAATTTCTAATTTTTTATAGTATATGGATGCCTACAGAATAAGCCAAACTCCTTAGCTCAATCTTCAAGATCTTCCAGCACCTAGGTCTAGTCTGTCTTTTAGGCTTTCTCATCTACTAATCTCCATTTTCCTTAAATATTCTAAGCATGTAATCATACCTCCGTTCTTTGTCCATAAGGCTCCCTTTGCTGAAATGAGCATTTCTTCCTTTCCGCCTCTGTCTGATCAAAATTCATTGTAAAACACCAGTTCAAATACCTCTTCTTTGTGATCCCACGTCTTGGAATTTCATCACATTCCCTTCTTGGCACCAGTATTATAGCACTTGATTACATTCACTCTTTTATGGTAATTATTTCCAACTCACTATAAACACCCTGGAAACTGTCTTTTTCTTTGTATCTAGTAGGACAATGCTCTCAGTAATCTGAATTTGATAGATTTTTGCTTGTTTGAACTGAATCCTCAAAATGATATGTAGTCACTGCCTACGATAATTTTTATACCTAAACTAGAAAGGGACTGTTGTTGTTGTTGTTATGTGCCATCGAGTTGGACCTGACTCATAGCGACCCCTCCTTGGGTTGCCAAGGCAGTATCACTACAGAAGTAGATTGCTTCCTTCTGAGGAATGGCTGGTGGGTTTGAACCGCCAGCCTTCTGGTTAGCAGTCAAGTGCCTTAAGCCCTATGCTACCAGAGCTCCCAGAAAGTACTTAACAAAATGCAAATCTGTTAATACAATAGCATTTTTGTACAGCAGGATCTGGCCCTTAGACTTTCTATGTAAGAGAATAACCCAGGTAACAAGGACATTCCCCTTCAGATGCTAAACCTTTATTTAACCATTTTAGTGAAAACATGAACTATGGGACAAAAGTAACCTTCTCAGGATCGCTTAGGGTCATCATGATGCATGCCTTCCATCAGTGTACCTTCAGGCAATGCAGTACTGAGGATGTGACTAGGTTTTCTGTTTCCTGTATCTTTGGCATGCATGGTCCTCTACTGAAGTGGATTCGGGACTATGGTAAATGATTTGAATAAAGTTGAAAGGGGATTGGACTCATTCCCTAGGGAAGAGAGACTAGGGAAAGCATTTCATAATAAGCAAAGAAAATGGGAACTGGTGTAAACCCAATAGAAATTCAATTTAAAACCCCCTAAAAATTTCTTAGCTACAGAGGTTTTAAAGAAGATATAGTAGGCTGCTTGAAAAATTGATAACATCACCTTCTTTGGAGTTACTTAAAATAAGGGCAGATAGATATCTTTCTAGAACGATTTAGATCCAGTCTTTTGCAGAGGAGAGGATGAACCTAATGACTTCTCATAATCCTTTTCAACTTCATAATTCAGAGCTCCGGGCAAAAAAGATAAACTAAGGTTGCAGGTTTTCTAATCTGCTCTGTTTTTTTAAGGGACCTTTTAACAGTAAGATTTATTTCTATTTTGTCCATGAGCCTGAGGGCCTTTTGGTCAGAGAGTATCTTTTCAGTAAGTCAAATAAAATTGTGAAGCAGAAAATCTTTATTTGGTCTATAATAATCACTAGTATGGCAAGCTGAAACAAGGTACCAGCAGGGAGAGCGCTATAGCTGCTCACTTGCCCACTGAGTCACAGATATGGGTGAAATATAATATATTGTGTATATATAAAGAACTGTGAGCACAAGGCTTTGGACACTATTCTCCAAGACTGTATCGGCTGGTCAAGAGAGGTGGAATGGTCATCCATGGCACCTGATGCTGACTTTGGAATAAGTCTTTCTCTTCCTAGGACACCTTATCTGGGGTTTGGCAGAGCAGGTAATTTTTTTTTAAGTGATATTTAATGGAGTTTTTGGTGCAAGTTTATGTAATAGATTAGGTTCTCATATGACAATTTCCACACAAATTGTTCAATGACATTATTAGTTATGTTTTTCAGCATTTTCTTTGATTGTGTTCTGTTTATTTCCTTTCCTGTATTCCAGTTTCCCTCTTCCCTTATCTTCTCATCCTTACTTTCAGGTAACTATTGACCTTTTGGTCTCGTTTTGATGGATTTTAAGTAGGAAGGTTGATTGAAGTCCTATCTATCTATCTCTGGTTCCATATATATACTCCCATCCCACCCTCCATCTATACCAGACATCTGAGCAGCTCCCTTCCTACAAAACTTGTGTGATTCTGAGTCAGAGCCTCCCATGTATGGGCAAGGCAAGAAGTGCTGGTTTCCCCAAGGTTCTCCTGCATATGGGGGTATCAGAGTTGCTACCACGTCCTGGTCTTTCCCTTATGCCAGTGCTGCCCAGCTGTGCTTATCCAACTCACTTTGATTATTTTTTTAACTTTTATTTTGGAATAATTTCATACTTAGAGAAAAGTTAAGAAAAACAAAAGATAGCATCAGTAGTCCTATATACTCTTGTTTTATTATTCCTTCTCTTTTTTTCTCTCTCTCATTTTTGGTATATATACTTTTCTGAAGGAGCTCTGGTAGCATAGTGGCTAAGACACTTGCCTGCTAACCAGATGGCTGGCGGTTCAAACCCACCAGTCACTCCTCGGAAGGAAGGTTGGGCAATCCTAACTTCCATAGTGATACTGCCTCGGAAACCCAAGGAGGGGTCGCTATGAGTCGGGTTTGACACGACGGCACATAACAACAACAACAACAACAACATACTTTTCTGAATCATTTGAGAGTAAATTGTAGATATATTGCACCTTTACCCTAAATACATCAATGTATGTTTTCTGAAAATAAAGGTGCTCTCATACGTAACTATAGGACAAATGATCAAAATCAAGGAATTAGTATCGATTCAGCTCTATTACTTAATATGTACACCTTGTTCAAATTTCCAGTTTTGCCAGTTTTCACTAATGTCCTTCACAGAATGAATGAATGAATAAATAAATAAATAAATTCCCCTAGTCCAGGATTACCTGTCACATTTAGTTATTATGTCTCTTGAATTTCCTTTAATCTGAAACGGTCATTTTTTTTTTCCTATTGCCTTGATTTTTTTTGAAGTATACAGATTACCTATTTTGTACAATATCCCTCAATTAGGAGTTGCCTGATGCTTCCTCATGATTAGATTCAGGTTATTCATTTTTGGCAGGAATACCACAGACATGATACTGTATTCTCAACATGCGTCTGAACAGGATACCCACTGCCATCAAGTCAATTCTGACTCCTAGCGACCCTATAGGACAGGGTTTCCAAGGATGTAAATCTTTATAGAAACAGACTGCCTCATCTTTCTCCCACAGAGCACCTGGTCAGTTCTGAGTTTGAACCTAACTGCTAACCTTTTAGGAGCTCTGGTGGCATAGTGCCTAATGCATTTGATGACTAACCCGAAGGCTGGTGGTTCAAACCCATCAGCCACTTCTTGGAAGGAAGATTGTCCAATCTAATTCTGTAGAGATACTGCCTCAGAAATCCAAGGAGGGAGTCACTATTAGTTAAATCGACTCTA